CACATTAGAGAAGCAGGGTTGCTTCACTGGAGTAACAAATGAGTCTAGTCCAGCACCAGATTCCAGCATAACATCTGCTTTTTCATGGATATTGGGAGCAGTCGTGCAGAATGAATTATCAAAACACTTTCCGGTCCAAGATTTATTTTGATTCTCAGGAGTTCTAAACAAAGCTGGATGTTCTCCACCCTCCCTTCTTGCTTTAATACTGTATCCATAGGTACCATTATTGCATAGTCCATTGCTCCCATCAAGCAACTTCGAACTAAACTTCTTCTCTGAGGTATGTAGAGCTGTATTCACTGAAACCTCAGAAAGTGGGATCCTTTTAATGCTACCCAACTGAACCGGATGTCCGCTTCCCCTGCCAATGTCATCTCTAAAGACCACATATGTGAAAGTATAAAAAACAAATGAAAAAAAATAAATTGTAGGCGCATTGATTACAAACTAAGTGAATATAGAATGAGTTGCATTCGGGTAAATTAAGAATTGAATCATAATTTTTTAAATATTTAGTATAAATGCATTCAATGTTGATTATCTCCGTGAATTAAAAACCCATATTTTAAAGCATTAAATGAAAATTTTACCATGTAAGGTTCATCAAATTATTAAAACATTCATCAAACACACATCCAAATAACTTTCAGATTTTCTTAGCAATAGAAACTGGCGATTTCAACTCCATCGTGCAGATTCAGCTCAATTAGCAAACCACTAACTGGTGCATTCATCTTCTACCAACCAGAAGACCACGATTAATTACTCACTTTCTAGGGAATTGATGATCGGAAGCATCTCGGGGCCTTTTGCGAGCGAGAAGCGCCTTGGCGGCTCTGAAGTTTTCGGAAATTCTAGCCTTTTGTTTGGCAGATAACCGGCCGTGCTCCGCCGACTCATTTTCATTGCCGCTTATGCTCGCATGCGTTCCTATACCCTCCATAGTCTGTACATGCCAGTTCTGCGGTGTCCGGTTGCCGGAAAACGGGGCCGGTGGGAGAGAGGAAGGGAGCGGTTTTGTCGTCGAGGTTCCCTCCCGGTTCTTCGTCCTTTGGGCTATTCAAAATTTTAAACCCAGCCCAATACGGAAACCCAATCAATTGATTTACAAAATTGATATTGAGAGAATTTAAATTTATGACAAAAATACATTAAATACTCATATAATTAATTCTCTTGATTTGTTTAAGTAAATTTAAAGTTTTTTATATTTTATCTCAGATTATTTTAATATTTTTTCTATTTTAGAAAAATAAAAATTGTTTAAAAAATATTCCCTCCGTCCCGCTATATTCGTCCACTTTTGACTTTTGGAACTATTCATCTAAGCACTTTGATTCATCAAATTCCCTCAATGTGTAAGCCTAAATATAGTCATGTGTGATCTTATTTGATTTGTCTTAACAAATAGATTATTAATATATAATTTCTATAATTTTTTAATATACAAATTACAAGATAAAAAAATGGATTAAAGAAGTACATTGGATGGTGTGTAAAAATGAAAGTGGACAAATACTCTGGGACGGAGGGAGTAACAATTTCTATGGTGATCTTAAGGTCCACCATAGACATATATATGAGTAAAATAAGTATTTTCTTACTACTTAAATAAGTTTTATACATTTCAAAAATGTAAACTAAGTACATATATATATTCATCTCAATATTTATCGAATATCGAACCATCCCCAATCATACCGATATTTCATACCAAACAAATACTGATGTAAAATCTCATACCAAACCAGAATATTTGGTACGGTGTCGATACGAAACAAATACGGTATCATAGCTTACCAGCTCACCCATGGTAAAATGACACTCAAACCCATTGTGATTTGTGACTTGTGAGCATAATTTTGTTGTTATTTAAAAAATATTAAAATTAGCAAAAAAACACTCCGTAGTAATTTCTCAAAGTGGAGGCGAAGAGCCATTCTCAAAGTGGAGGCGAAGAGCTTCAAAGCTCGAATGGATTTTCCCGGCGATTGAGGAACACAGAGATTCAAGAAGCTAAAAGGCGTGAATATGGATGCATTGACAGCATCATACGGCGACGTTTCTTCTGATTCCGACTCGGACTCCGATCGCACTCTTCCTCTGCCCTCCACTTCCTTGGCCGCCGAGACATTCACGCCTCTTCCGCCGCCTCCCATCTCTCTGCTCGACTCGCCCACTTCACTGGGTAAATTTACATGATTAGCTTGCACAACCTCGTGATTATGCATTTTGGATGTTGTAATCTGCGTTATTCAATGGCTGCCTAGTTATGCCCACCAAGTGTTTGGTCTTTGGTCTGTGAAGGTTCGTTGGATTACTTGAAAAGCTGTCAAACCAATCGAATCAGAAGCTTTCCTCATGTAGAAGGCAATTACGCTCTTCATGTTTACATTCCAGGTAAAGCTTGGTCGCCTTTCAAAATTCATGCTCAGCATTCATGTGATAATCTTTGTGCAATATTTTCAACCGTGCGTAGGTAAAATGATTAAGGTAGTGGAGTATTTTGTTTTGTATTTCGCTTACATAAAAAGAACAGAATTTTTTGCAGTTTAGTTATCATAGGGAACCAGAGACAATTCTTGGTTTATAGGGAGTATTACTGTTTTGTTCTTTTGTTTGTTATAGTTCTTATACCATCTGCACCAAGGAAGGAATTGGCCCAGTTTTTGGAGAGGGTTACGACTCTTTTCCCTGATCTTAATGTTGTTGATGTTGATGTACCATTGAGTAATTTGGTGAGAGACAAGGGTAAGCTTGAGCAAGTTGCCTTAGGTAGGGAATTTCATATAAGTTTGGGAAGAACGGTTCCTATTCGAGTTCACCAGATCAATTCAGTCGTCTCCATGCTTCGCCAGAGGCTGCAGTTTCAGAAGAGGTAATGCAGTGGCTTTTGTGTTGCATATCTCTGTATATGTGCACCTTGGCCTTAGGATCAGTAATCTTTTAGTCCTAATCTCTAACCTTTTTTTAAAAAAAATGAGAACAGGTATTGGATAAATTTTAACAAATGGGAGGTCTTTGTGAATGACGATCAATCTCGCACGTTTCTCTCATTGGAAGTCATCACAGGAGGCTTATTTGAGGTATGATGGACAGCATGATATAACCGGGTTGGCTTTGTTATATCTTTATCTGAAAATATTGATAGGTGCATGTAAAGGGTCAGTAATTAGTTTAGGTAATAGGGGTGAAAGTGACACTATACCCTTGCTAAAAACAAAGTAACCTTTTGATAATATTGTGTAGGGTTGGTTATTTTGGCGAACTTACCCTTATTACATGAACAAGTTCCTGACACCTAACTGCCCTTATAATTACTCTTAGTTGATTTCATTTGAATCCTGAAATCTCATTTTATGTTCGTTTGTTTCTCATTTAACATTTTAACCTTTATACGTTTATAGGTTTGTATTTGAAATTCATCCCTAAGTCTATATCCCTGCAGTTTTTAGCATTGCACAAATATCGAGTTTGTCTCAAAGTGTTTTGACTATACAAATCAATGATAATTTACTTATTCTGTTAGATCTTGACAATTCATTTCATAAAACGAGGAGGAATCATTGAACATTTTTGGAAGGATAAAGTTTTGTTGAAATTACTTAATGCCTTGACTTTGCTGAAATAGATTAGGATATGGAGGGTTAAAATTATTACGGGGTATAATAATAACAATTACGGAGTATTGTTATTATTCTTTCTATTATTATTATTTCCATAGAATAGATGGTTAAATTTATGGAATTGGATGGATTTATACAAAAACATATTTAATTTTTTTGAATTGGGTTAAAAAATATTTGCATCCAAACTATGATGTTTGAAGATTTTGAGCTTTAAACTACTAAAAGAAAACTGTATCTTCATTTCACACAATTCAGCCAAAATATATTTCAGAACTACTTTTTCCTTAAATTGCCTACCAATATGTCGTATCTTGAAAATATGCTCTATACTTTGAATTTTCTAAGTAGGGGTAAGGTCTGTGTAGTGTGTACACACACCATCCGGCCTCCAGACCTCACCGCAGCAGATTTTACTTGGTCTGTTGTTTGCCAACTAATCCGGCCAATAAAGTTAAAAAAGTTAGTGCTTTGTAGAGCTTCTTGCAGTTAAGCAAAAAAAGATGAAGAAGAGTGCTACTTGTGCTACCAAACATGTGCTTATTTTGATTCCCTTGTTCTCAGATAACAAAACAGATTCAAGCTGTTAATGAGGTTTATAGGCTTCACAATCTTCCAGAATTCTACAAGGTTAGATTACATTAGTGATACTTCTACCAATTATTCCAGCATTCGTAATCTCGGTTAATGGTTTTCCCATCACGTGATTGTGGGTGTATTGATCGCAGGATCCGCGCCCACATATATCCATAGCTTGGTCATTGGGTAACATCAGCGATGCACTTAAAAGAGTGGTAGATGAAGAGATGCAAAGGTATGTTATTGGGAGCTCACCACAGAAGCCCATTTTCACGAGCAGATTTAGAGGCATTTTGTGTAAGATTGGAAATAAAAGTCATGAGATCTGCAAATTTCAAGGAGAATAACTGTGCTACAGTTACAAAGAACATCAGATATTCTGATATAATTAACTTCTATTTTAATATAGATTGTGTACAATCGGATCCAACTATAAAATTCTCCCGCTGAAGGAAATTCCGTTGGTCTCTAGATTGTATCTGGCTACTAAGCTTATAGTTTGATGTGCAAAATTCATATACTCCCTCCCTATATAAAAGAAAAAGAAGCTTTGTTTTTCATTTTTCGCCGCCCTAAAATGAGGTTACTAGTTCATTGTTGCTTTTGGGAATTCCTCAAGACATTCTCTCCTCTCTTCTACAAAGATGATGGTAACCCTTAAACTTATTAACTAAAAATGAACTCTAATGAAAAATTCATTCCAAAACTCCCCAAAATTGAGTTTTTACATGAACTTTTCTTGATTGCACAACTATCACCAACATTCCATGAAAACACCACTAGATGCACACCACTTGAACAGAAATCCGAAAAAGAGTGAACTACAACAATTACAACAAGTAATCTTCATGTTGTATGTATTTTTTTGTGAATGACTGTCAAATGTTTATCTGTGTGGTATACTCCAACTCATCAGTGGAATTTCAAGATCAATGAAAAGAAGAGAAAAATATCCTTCCACAGCATGTTTCAGCCATGAAAAGGTATACTTATGTATGGATGAAGTTTTGTAAGAATAATGAGAAGAAGAATAACAAAGGGAAAGGAGTTATGCTTCCCAGCCTCTCAAGACACTGGCACGCGCAACACGATTGACTCCGAGAGTGAATGCACCCATCCGAAGATTGCAGTTGTGGGACTGGCACATGCCCTTTATGTTCTGGAACGCCCTCGACATGTATTTCTTTAGCTCCCGATTCACCTTTTCCTCGTCCCACATAAACCCTTGAATATTCTGCACACAAACACAAACCCTTGGAGGATTATTCCATAGCAAGAGGAAAGAGTGTACTTCTATCTCTAGTTCTATCCATCAAAAGATTAAAAGGTCACATTTCAGTGTGGTAAAGCTAGAAAGGTAAATGATTTGGTTAAAGCTGAGTTTAATGCACATTACCTGAACCCACTCGAAGTAACTCACAGTCACACCTCCAGAATTTGCATATATGTCTGGTAGTATAACTATTCCTTTATTAGACAAAATCTGCACACATAGAAACAACATTTGGGTTTTCAAAATCTGCCAGTTAATAAAAGTGTGACCTTTGGAAGAAGAAAAAAGAAAGGCACCTCATCAGCTTCTGGATCAGTAGGATGGTTAGCAGCTTCTATAATATACTTTGCCTTCACATTTCCTGCATTTTCTCTACACCGATAATTCAAAAAAATATGTTTAGAACAAACCAGACAAGACAACACCGGTATGCAAACCTTACCCCTACCAGAGAAAAGTTTAGAACTAATGTAGCTAATACTCCATATATTAGATCATCTAATCAAAAGAATACATATGATGATATATGGTTTAGAGGCACAATTAGTGTCTGAACCTGTTAAGAACACCACCAAGAGCGCAAGGTATAAGAACATCGCATTCGTGCGTGAGCAACTCATTTGAGTCCATGGCATCCCCACCATTGAAATCAGTTAGCATTCCTGTTGCCTCTTTATGCTTGATCAGAGCAGGTATATCAATCCCATTAGGGTTCTTGACCGCTCCAGTTATGTCACTGACTGCAACAACCCTACCACCTCTCTCGTGTATAAGCCTTGCTGCCCAAGATCCCACATTTCCAAATCCCTTCATTAATAGAAAACATGATATTATGACGAAATGCCAAGAGTTTTTAAAAGAGCCTGTCTGGTAGAAGTAATCTGGCTGAAATGACGTGTCTGAATATTCTGTATTTTTTTTACCAAACAGAACCTTAGTTTGTAAAAAGCTAACCTGAATAGCAAAGGTCAAGTCCTTAATTGGTTTTCCATACTCAGAGAGTAAAGCTTCTGTGGCGAAAACCACACCACGCCCAGTTGCAGCCTCTCGCCCCAAGGAGCCCCCGAGATCCTAACATCATATTAAAATAATTAGACAATTATATTTTGTGTCAACCTTATAAAATAAGTGTTTCTCGGAATGTTTCTAAAATAGTACAATAAGTATAATGGGACAAAAAACTCAAAACATGTCAAGGGAAGAAAACGTGAGGGAAAGTCTATAAGAAAACTTTTCAAACTCATTTTTGAAAGAAAAAAAAAACTTTCCTGTTGCATTTTGTTCTTTTCACTACTATCTGAGCTCCAAACACAGCATTAGTGCAACCAAATGAAGTAACTTACAATGGGTTTTCCGGTAACAATAGCAGGGGAGTGCCCATGAAACTTTGAATACTCATCCAAAATCCAAGCCATAGTCTGTGAACATATCACAGCAATCAATATTATGTGTTTATTGTCCTGAATAATTTAACTCTTAAAACTGATTATTATCATTACTGTACAGAAAGACTGAGGATGACCTGTGCATTAGTGCCCATATCAGGAGCAGGCACATCCGTATTGACACCAATCAGATCATGAATCCTCTGTGTGAAGACTCGCGTGAGGCGCTCCAGCTCGCTCTTACTTAAATCCTTTGGGTTACACCCAATCCCACCTTTGGCCCCGCCATATGGAATATCTGCCACGGCACTCTTCCAAGTCATCAGTTGTGCAAGAGCGTTTACCTCATCCGGGTCAACCTAGCTCACACATACATACCCTCACAATATCATTCACTATTTATTACTACCAAAACATTTTATCGATATATATACTTCATCCCTGCGTTTCTTTTGACACCCAACCACTATCGTGCTCTGTTGGCCCCGATGTGGGTCCTACCCCCACAAACCCCAGCCCGGGTCCCCAGGTAGTGTAGCGTTTTGGCATTTTCCAAGGGCTTGGGGAGTACAGAGCACGGCAGGGTATTTGTGAGGTTAGGAGGTAGGACCCAACGGAGCACCGTAGTCCCTCAAATGGCCGGTGTCATAATATGACACTTAAGGTGAGTGTAAAAAGAACCAGCCCATACTTCAAAAAGCAATACAAAATCACATCATATATCTTGATATACGTATATATATCTCACTCACACACACCCTCCCTTCGTCCTGCAAAAAAAAACTTCACTTTTGTCCTTTTCATTTGTCCCAAAAGAAACTTCACTTGTCTACTGTAATCGAAGTCTAACTATAAATTTTTTTACTTTTCAGCACTTTTCTGAAACAGTTGAAAGTGAAATAAAGCAGCTTGGATCAGTCAAAAGTAGAAATCAGTCAAAATTTTATAACGGAGGGAGTATACATTATACTGGTGAAACAAAAAGTAGAAATCAGTCAAATCAGGACCTAACACCAGCTTGGATCCATCAAAAGAAAAGGAGGAGCTAACATTAAAAAACACAGAGTATCAAATACTAATGAAATCAAGAAGAATATAGTTAGTAGTGTCCCTAATTGACAAATACCTCAGGATGGTATCTGATTCCTCCTTTCATGGGGCCGCGGGCATTATCATGCTGCACCCGAAACCCAACGTAGGACACCAGCGTCCCGTCGTCCTTCGGAATCGTGCACTCCACCTGATCATCAAACACCAACCATCCATCTTCCAATAAGGCGGCCAGCAAATAAATTAACAAAATCAAATTGGAATCACACAACATTCAATTTCGAGCTGAATTTCCTCGCCGCGAACAGAAAAAATCATTCAATTTCTTCTAATTCTACTCTGTATATAGCAGCTATAATAACAGCAACAATCTGGTGATATGAGAGAAAGGGGTAGAACCGTGAATGGCCAACCTTGATCTCTCGGAAGGGGATGAGGAGACTTTTCTCGATTTTGGAATCGAGGCCAAGAATGCGGGCTGCCTGCCGGAAGTTACGGGTGGTAGCTGCGAGCGCGTTCATGGCCGGCCGGAGAATCAATGCCGATCTAATCAAATTCAGTGATAATAACTAACAACCCAGAGAAATGGGTGAAATGAATAATGAATGATTTTTGTGATATATGAGAAACTCCTCCACTCCGGTATATTGATATTTATAGGAAGTATACTGTAATTATGAATGAGATTTGTAAGGGGTGACGCGTCTGTGACTGTGAGACGGTGGGTGGGTTTGGTCTTCTTTATTCGTCGGCGATTATGGGTGGGAATGTATGCGGCGTCTTGTAACTCCACTAACTTTTTTATTTGGAAAAAGTTGACATCTTTGTTTATGGGATTGACACGAGGGGTGCAGAGGGAATACTATTCTAAAAATAAATTCAACCATGCTAGGGGTATACAAACGTGTACTCGAAGTTTTACTTCAATGAAATGTACCGACATTTTAACAATTTACATTGATACAAAATGTTGGTTTGCTTAAAGAAAATTGTACTGATACTTTTTGTCAATATAAACCATTACACTAGCACAAAATGTCAGTACAAAATGGAGTATAAATTTTGGTGTACAAATAGCTTAATCCAAATAAATTTCATAGCCCGTTCAATCGATCCCAATCCGAGGATATTGAATCAGGAACATATAGTTTTAAATCCGAACTTACTCGAATTCGACCTGACCGATCAATTTGTTAGCCCTATTCTTGTGTGGGTGTATAATATAGGTATGCTCACTTGGTCACTCTAAAACACCTTCAGCACATTTTGTTTTTGTTTATAATTGCACACCAAATGTACAAGATGTTATCTACTTTCATCAGAGGATGTCAGGATAAATTTATACTCCCTCTATCCTCCTAAGATCTTCTCGTTTTGACTTTTGGTAAATTTTAAGGAGAGTTAAAAAAAGGTGAAAGTTTACCAAAATATCCTTAATGAAAATGAGTAAGTGTATTAAATAAGGTGGAAAAGATGTAATAAATAAAGTAAGTGCGGGTAATTATGATATTTTAAATATTAAAAAAAATAATGAGAAGATCTATGTGGTACAAATAAAAAGGGCTAATAGGAAGATCTATGAAGACGGATGGAGTATTAGACATGCACTAAGACAAATTTGGACCGAGCCAGAGGTAATTTTTTGCTCAAATATCTGGACAAGCTAAGCCCGCATTCAAAATTCGAGCCTAACATCATGTTCATATCTACCCATGAAGTTGATCAAAACGGGCTATAAGACAACCCGGCCTGAAACTTTTAATATATAAAAATAGTTTTTAGCATAATAAATAAATATTCATATCTAATAATTTAATTCATATTAAAATGAAAATGACATGATTGTTGCACTATACAACATTATAGAACCATACTCGTTGGATCAATTCGATTATGATGACATTGAATAAAGAACATGCAATTTTGAACTTATACCCAAACTCTCTCGAACCCAACCTAACCGGCCAATTGTGCACTCTCGTTGTGAGAAACTGTTTGTATGTTGAGGGATCCATTTCAAAACCAATCACATAAGGTCATTAAACATGTTAGGGGAGCACACTACATAACAAACTATTTTGCACTTTCTGTGTGTCTATGAGACACAATGGTGTCATATGTTGCGCACCTCTAGTTTTTTCAGACTATCATAGTCACATCACCTTTGAAACCATGTGTTTCACAGACATATAATCATTATCTGGATCGCATAGACAATCATTATCTGTGCATGTCTATGAAACATATAATGCCAGAGTTGTGTCAAAGTGACTATAGATTTATCTAAAATGGAGTAAAACTTGTTGGAAGGCCAATTTGATTGGATATTTGTTGAATCAAGAACATCAATTTGTCTAAAGCAATGCAGCATTGCAGCCTATTGCACATTACAAATACAAACTTTTATATAGCCATTCATCAAGAATCTAACACACTTTTTAAGGAACTGCAAATCAAGATTACATTGTATGTAACACAAGCTATCAGAAATATCACTCTCAGCATCAACTTAAAGAAGGGGAGTTATATAAACTGAGGATAAGGCAGAGTGAAAGAGAGTGGATCATAGTTTCATGTGTACTGGTATGTGAAATAGAGTGAATGTGTGGTGCTCCCAGACCTTAACGTGTTGGACCATGAAGTCAATTAGTATGGCCTGTAGCGGATCGGGCCACGCCTGAACCTTGGCACCCTCCTGCATAAGAAAATAATTGTTATCTTAATTTCCTACACAATTCTGGGTGACCATGCAAAAACTATGGAACCTAGAAATATTAGGGGAATAAAACAGGGAGAAATAGAATTGATAGAGAAAAGATTTTTTTTTTGGGTGGGGGCAGGGCAATCAAAAGATCTGTTCAAACTGAATAAGGAGAGCCTTAGCACACCAGTTGAGGTGTTGCCATTGTGACCTGGGGGTCATGGTTTCATATCCGTGGAAACACTCTGGCAGAAAAAACTGCAAGGTAAGGTTTTCCTACATTAACACCCTTGTGGTGGGGCCTTTTCTAGACCATGCACGGTGGGGTGGGGATGCATTATGCACTAGGCTGCCTAGCCCTTATATGGTTAAAGCCAATTTAATTATTCATTTCTATTGTAAAAACACTGAGAAGTCTAAATACAGTATAAATAGAGAATTCACTTATCATTATCGAGGGTAAAGGCAAGCATTAAAAAAACTTCTGTTGCCATTTGTTTTATTTCCCCTCACATTTTCCTAGATCCAAACATACCCTTAACGCTTTCAAATGAAACAAGTTGGGAAAATGCATTCTTTATTGCAATACAGGGTGGGAGAAAACTGACATTTAGAAACTTTTCAAAAATATGTAAAGAAAACAGAACACATAGGCTTCACAAACATGCAAAACAGTAGCAATGAATAACTTCACGTTAAGAAATTCTTGGGCTTCACACAGTTGATTGCTTTTTAGAATAATCAACTTAAAAAAACCTACATGATGAATACAAAGCAGATCACAAATGGGATACTAACCCAAAAGCAAATGGGGGGAAGGCTGCAGCACCAGGTACAAATGCCCTGCGGGGTCGGAACCCTAGATAAGGATTGACACTTCTACCTCGGAACTGCTTCATGCCGGGAACATTGGTTCGCTTGGCGGACACCTGCCGTCACAAACCGTTAGCACATGCAAAAAGTCAAAAAACAATAACTGCTATCCTAGGAGAGGATAACTTTAAAGACCTTCAATTGGCGACCATGTAGCTCTGACTCATTAAGCAGCAATGCATTTTGAATGGCTTCGGCTTCCACAAATTCTACATATGCATATCCTTTAGGTTGGCCAAACTTATCTGTTAAGATAGTCACACGGTTCACTGTGCCACAAGACTGAAAATGCTGCTGCACTTCCTCTGGGGTGCATGCATAATCAACCTGAAATTCAAAAGCTTGGATGAGAAAAATTAACATCATACTACACAACTTGTATTTGATTGCCATGATATGTTAGCATCTGATCTAGCTAATATCAGCTTGTGTGAATTGAAACAAAACCTACCACAACCTTAAGGGTTTGTTTGGATGGGGGGTTTTGTAGAGGAAGGATTATGAGGGTTCAGTAGATATCTTGATAAATCATCATCAAATCTATGATTGCTATGATACACAATCATGCATTATGTTTTTTAAAGAATCGTGCATTATGCTAATCTTTCGAACTTTATAAATCTCAAATATATTCAGATATAGACTAAGCTCTCCAAATCCTTCTTCGCCCAAACCCTACATCCAAACTAACCTCAAGTGAAGCATTTGGTACAATACCCCTACAATAGTACAATACAACCATTGTTCAGTTTATCAAACAAACCACCAGCGTTTTTCTTTCACTGTCTATTCATGGAGAAAGTTAAAGTGCAACTTTGAGTGTTTTTCCCTCTTCCTCCTTATTCTAGTCCCTTACATCACAGAACAAATAATAGAGAAGAAAGTCCAGGACGAGTCATAGTGTAACTCCATCTTTAAATGTCAATGCTCTCCAAAATGAAGGTACAGGCGTACAGCTTTCTTAGTCATGTCATTTATTACAATTACACAGAATCTCAAAATATAACACTTTAAACTTTATATGACGTGTTCACTGTTTCCTATAAACTACATCCTTTTGTACACTCCAATTGATCTATAGTCTGTATTATATTAGAGAAATCAAAATGTAATTGGCTAACTGCTGATTAAAACTTCAGTAATTACCTTCCTTGTTTACACTCAATTCAATAAGACATACTCCGGGGTAGTTTTATTGAAATTGTAATATGGTTTTTTGCTAGCAAAAGAAATGATATAATGACTTATGGTATGCTTACACATCACTCACGGGGAAAGATCAGACTTAATAAGTTTAAGAAGGTTTTAGGCCTCACATTACCAACATAGATTGACCGGGAGTCCACCTCCTCCTTTTCAGCCTGACTTGCAGAAGCAGAAGCTGAATCTTCAAAGGTGTACGTTTGTGTGAAAAAAATAAAAATGTTACAAATAACCCAAACTTGATAAGGTGAAGTAAGGCATAATGAACAAGGAAATGAAAATTTATAAACGGTGCTTAGCATTCTTATCAAAGGGTTTACCACCTACGCTATTCTATAGCGCTTCACTTGATAACTCCAAATTACATGGAAGCACTCACTCAACCACCATTATTTATGTAATTATTTGGCCGGGGGCTTTGGAGGAGAGGGGAGTACTAATTTCTGTTTTACTAATTTAACTCTAATTGTTAGTCTTTGACTAGAAAATCACTCTACGTCTACTTAAATAACGTAATTTAATATGATTTTCATCGTCACTTTCCTTTCAACCACTTATATGTATGAAAAAATTAATAAAATAACTAAATGCCCTCTCCTTTTATCCCCTCGGAAACCCCCCAATCTAACAAGGGCTTAGAGTCTAATTATGTTTCTCAAAATGACCTCTAGCACAGTTTATAATCATGAATAGAATTTAAGAATGAAATGTGAGAGTTATAACTACTCCATTGTGATAAAAGGTGTACTAAAACCTTTAACAAACTTTGCTTCAGCAAGTGCATCATTGTTTTTATTCCCTGATGGTAAGAAACTAGTACTTGTTCCATTTGAGCAATTAAGGCCTTATTTATTATTTCAACTTTTAACTCCAAGTATACGCACTCCACACTCCAAGTACCCGAGCTTCACTAGAATTAAGGAAAAATAAGCCCTTCAATTACTAACCAAAATGGCCATATTTAACTTCTGAGCCACAAAGAAATTTGAAATATAAGAAAAATTTAGAATCTCGGATCAAGACATTCAGACAATCCAAGCAGCCGCACTTCTCATAAAGTTAAATACAATAATTAATCAAGTCATCTCACACAAAGAAGCATTATTTCTATTTTAAACCAAGAAACTAACAAATGGTAACAAACAGAAAATAGTCTATCTGAACCTACATAATGTCAAGATATTCTATGATTTCCACTTTGGGTTGAAATGAGCAATACCTTGAGCGCCACTCATTTCTTTCTCCACTTTAGCTTGCATTTCGCGCAGGGCGCCTGATTCCTCCTCAATCTCCTTCAACCTTTTCTTCATGTTCTCCAAATCCTGTTCAACGTCACAGCAAAAAAAAAACATTAAACCCAAACACTGGCAATTCTGCAAACGAAAAGATCAACAGGAAGATGGAGTAAGCCAAACAACTTTAGCGTTATGTTCTCCTGAGATCGGGGCGGCAGACATTTCCACATCTGCATCCATATCCTCTGCTTCCTCTATTTTCCCTGCGTAAACATCTCCCTCCTGCTCCATATGCTCCAACTCTGTCTATATGTACTGGTATTCAAAACCGATTCCCTCCAAATATGCGCCGGAGATGTATATATCTGTGGATAGAAGCGCAGAAATGGAGGTAAAATTTGTGAATTTGAGCTGAGAGAAATTCTAGGTTTTCAGACACTTTGCCGAATCGGGGGTTTTGGGATATGGATGCGGAATTGGGCCGGTTGGTCAACCACGGGTACGGCAATATATTCCAACTTCAATTTATAACAAATAAAAAAGTGATTCAATATATTTTCAAGTGATCAACTAGTGAGAGAGATTTGGGGTGTATTCAATTGGGAGTCTGCAAGATTTTTTTGGACTTTCAAAATCTGAGGGTATTCAATTTAGATTTTTAAAAATCTTTAAAAATTCTGAGGTATTCAATAAAGATTTTAAAAAGTCTTTAAAAATCTTTAGGTATTCAATAATCAATGCATTTTAATACTCCATAGATTTTGCTGGATTGTTTCCCAAAATACTGATTTCCACGGACTTTTGAACAAAGCAATAATTTAGATCCGACCACCAAACCTGTTGATACCCGACGATCCACCATCAAGAGGCGGCGATAGGGGCGCCAGACTACCTTCTGCTCCTCCTCTTCTAGGAAGAGGTGGAGAGGGAGTGGAGCGGGGTGGAGGACGAGGTGGATAAGGAGGCGTGCGCGATGGAGGAGATTGGGTTCTGCTGGGAGGTGCAGAGGGAATCGACGGGGGAGAAGAACCGGAAGGAGCAGGGGCGGAAGGCGTCAATGGCGCAGGAGGAGAAGTTGAAGGAATTATAGTCATAATAATAGTAACAGTAATGGTAATAATAAGAGTTATAATAATAGTAATAATAATAATAGGAATATTAATGTTAATACTAATAATACTATAATATGAATAATATTAATAATTATGATAGTAATAATAATAATATTAATAGTAATAATAATAATTATAGTCATAATAATAGTAACAGTAATGGTAATAATAATGTTAGTAATAGTAATAATAATAATAATAATAGTAATAATAATAGTAGTAGTAGCAATAGTAGTAGTAGTAATAGTAATAGTAGTAGTAGTATTAATTTTGTTTAGATCTGATCTGATCTGATTAGATCTGACCTGATTAGATTTGATATGATCTAATTCTAATTAAAATAAGTAATAAATAGAAAAAATAAGTTGAACGGAACGCAACCTTAACCAAAATATTTTATTTTCTCATAATATCTAACCACATTAGTGTTTTGGTGGTTAAGCTTTCATTCTAAAAAAATCCCAATTAAAACCCTCAATGTTAGTTTAATCATATTTTATTTTTATTTTAGTTTTTTATGCGAAGTGTTAGGAGTTAAGAAAACTCATGTTCGTCAAGTGCATGTTACGAAAATGTGGATGTTATAGTGGGTATATGGGCAAACAAGATTGGATAGGACTTGGAATGAGATAACACTAGTAAAAGATAAGCAGTGGGAAGATAGGTTGTGATGGTTTAGACATGGTAGGCAGCGAGATACTAACTTTCTAGTGCAAAGATGCGATGAACTTAGTCGGTGGGTGGCAGTATGGGTAAGGTTAGGATAGAACTCTCAAGTTTCATGTTATTTAAAATATACTATCGAGCTCCTTAAAATTAATTAGTAGTAATGTGCTAATTGGATGCATTCCATCTATTTTATTGTTAGAGTTAAAGTTTTGGTATTTTGATAAATACTAAAATTTACTTTCACAATCATTATGTTATTAAATTTAAATAAAATTCTTCAGTTTTTCAAAGTAAAAGAATTTTCAATTTTAATATCCAAATGGATGTAATGTACTTTTGAAATATACTCCGTAATACGGAGTTCTTTGTATCACCAATTTTAAGGACCTAAAATATATTTTGAATAACGTGTGATTTGAGAGTTATTTTAAGAAAATGAGTGTACCCGAGAGTATATTTCAAATAATATGAGACATGAGAGCTATTACTAAAAAATTGAGAGTACTCTAAGTAATTTTCTCCATATTCTAGCTATTTCCTTCTTAAACATTGCATAAAAAATTGCACAAATAATACTCCTATAGCTATATTATTTGTAATAAAATTTAATTTTGTGAGAACTATCTGTGTCTTTTATTTGTGCACCCACATGAGCCTGGGCCTACCTAGGGTGTTCTCCACGACTCCGCACAGTTAACATGGTGCGACCACCGAAAGGCAGCCGTCCGGTTATCAACGTCTTCGCCGGAGAAGCTTTTAAACCGCCGCCAGTCGTGAATCACCGCCGTCAGATCGGCCAATTTGGCGGATATGGTCCGGCAACAGTTGGCGTGGACGGTGACCACCGACTTGACATCGGTACTGTCCTGACAAAACCCGCTGAAGAATTTGGTGTCCAGGAATCTCACATTTAGGCCGAGCTTTTCGATCCAGCCATGGCGGATCAGCTTGTTCAGGACGTCCTGTTCCTTCAACCCGGCCGAGGAGTTCCTCATGTCGTACCAGGAATCGAACAGCGCGATGGTCCGGTTGTTGGACCGGATCATGTAGAACCCGGTGTTGATCGGGTTGGACTCGGACCGGTCGTCCCCGTTGAAGTCGTCCGTACTGATTTGAAGATCTAGGGTTTCGTTGCGGCTGCTCATCAGTTTGGGGAATGGATCTCTTAGCCAGAGAACATCACTGTCCTGTGTAAAACATCATAAACAAATTTAAACGTACAGTGAATATAAAGAGTCAACATTATTATTATTGGAATTTAAAAATATGATCTCATTACATTATGGATCTGTTTAAAAATAACGTTGGAGATTAATGTCATCGTTTTGAAAAGATTATCTACATGTGGCCTTAGCGTTTTCAAAGTAATTTTCACCGTTAAAATTTTATTCAAAATGCTAACGCTGATATCTAATATTATTTCCAAATATGCCCTATGTATTTGTCTTATTTACAAAACCCATCATATACATCCTTATAACTTCTGTATAGTGTGACTTAAAATAAGAGTTCGGAAAAATTTGAAAAGACTTAAAAAGTTAAAACTTATCTTTTCTAACCTAAACGAATAGACCCTTAATGTCCTTCTCTTTGTCCCTTACCAAATATCATATCCACTCACATAAAAGGGAGATGTATAAATATATCTTAGTTCAATCTATCTTCCGACTTTCAGTGAAATATTTGCTGTTTAGAAATGCTAGACTAAGCTAAGGCATTGTTTAGAAAATGAAGTAGCTTTTTAAACGCGGTCATGACCTTTGAAAAATCCGACATTGTCTTTTCAAAACGTTAAAACTGTTACTCCCGGCGGACGAGAGGGTATATTAGGAAAGAGAGGCAAACGTACCGTAAAGATGAAGGAGTAACCGAGCTTCAAAACATCGCGGAGGAACTGAGTCCTCCGCCACATCATCTTGATGAAGTCCTCGGACATGTACACCTTCTCCTCCCCCGTGAAATCCACGCCCTCCGTCTCCAGCCGGTAGCAATGCAGCAGCCGGAGGAACACGCACCGCTCGTACGAGGTTTGGTCGACGGCGGCGACCAGCACGTGCCTCACCAGCTTCCTCGTCCCCTCCCCCACCCAGAACCCGTCCAGGAACAGATCCAGCATGGGTTTGTCCCCTTCCACGTAAGCCCGGTTCACCACCGCTATAATGACCGTTTTGTCCTCCGTGCTCGCCCTCCCCAACGCCTCGTCCAGCTTGTCTCTATAGATCGCCATCGTATATAGTCTCTGCTTCATAATATGTAGTAAATAATTAACGTTACATTATTTCATTAAAAATGGATATGAAAATATACAAATGGGAATGGGAATGGGAAATTACTTTATTGGCCATGGAGGGGAGATCGCATGGAGGGGTATGGGTGGGAAAGATCTCGGATTGGGTGGGGTTAGTGGAGATGATGAAAATATAGATGAAGCCTATGAAGAGAAGGGCATATAGGAGAAAATGGAAATAATCGGCTGCCCGGAAATTCTTTGGATACGATGATGAGTCCATATTGGTGGCGGAGAGGGGCGCGGCGGCGGTTGGTGGGTTCTTGAATGTCGCCGGCGGAGGGGAATGAGGCGTTTCCGATTAGAGTGGAGTGTTTGGGGGTTTGTTGATTTGACTGCTCCCTTTTTTGTTTTTGTGCGTGCGTTATGGTTCTTTAATTTCATTAAAATGGACTTAAACTTGGAGTAATAATAATATATTGTAGCTGCACCTATATAAATACGGAGGATAATAATCGAAGAACAGTGGTATATATTTTCGAGAAAATTACCATGGGTGACGTAAATTTTGTCGAAATAACTCTCGGGATCCTCTATTTTCAAGAAGACGACAGAGGTCCTTACATTTTGTTGTAATGACTGGGAGAAGACATTTCATCCTATACTTCATCCATAAGAGTTAATAAATACATGTTTTCCTATTTTGCCATTACCATTTTTTCCAATTTTGCCATTACTCGGTTTTTTCCTTTTTAGAAAATTTTTTATTTCATTTATTTTTATATCATACAAATAATTTTGAATTTTTTTTACGATTTTATAGAAGAAATTCTTTAAAAACAGCAACAAAAAAGAAAAACAAAGAAATAAAAAAAAGAGCGACCTAAGAGTTATTACCATAAAACATTAAGGAAAAAAATAGGAAGAAATACATTTATTAACGTTTATGGATGAAATATTGGATGGTCCTCTGACAGTCATTACAACAAAATGTAAGGACCTCCATTGTCTTCTTGAAAATAGAAGGACCTGAGAGTTATTTCGACAAAACTTGTGTCACCCGTGAGTAATTTTCTGTATATTTCCTCATTCGGAAAATTAATTTTTGGAAATATATATTCGTACTTGGTAGTTGTGGATCCAAGAATTCGGTTTGTTGAGGTTACCACATTTTGTTGTCTCTAAAGTCTAAATAATATTCTTTCCGTACCAAAATGATCTTCTTATTTGATTTTTCTTTGCAAAGTCTATAAACTTTAAAAATCACTCTAAATAAGATTAAAACATAGAAAAAAGTATCAAAATATGAGTTTTATGTTTTAATTTTCGAAATAAGACTTCGCGCTGTGCTAATGTGGTTGTAATGTGGCACTGTACGTGTGCACATTACTATACTTTTTGGTAACGTACATGACCATCTTTGGTGATCTAAATGCATTTTAACTCTTATTTCGAAAATAAAAATGGAAGTCCTATTTTAGTATATTTTTACAAAATATATATGCATAAATATAGATATTAATGGTCAAAATACAATCTTAGAGATCGTTAAAAGTCAAATAAGAAAAATATTTTCAGATGGAAGGAGTAATATATAATGACAACAAAAGTAAGGAATTAAATTTTATTTCAAATATTAGTCGAATGTGAGTTTTTTAATATACAATATGAAATTTATCATAGGCCACTACCTCCACTTCTATGGGATAGATTTGCCCTTGCCTGTTTTGCCAATGTATTCAATATTTATAAAACATATTTAATCACATTGTTTAGCTTTAATATTTTTGAGTAAAAATATCACCTTTCAAAATGGTAAATTATTCTCGATCAAACGCCCGAGAGTTTTCATAGGATAGCCCATATATAGGAATACTTTTGAGTTTTGATCACATATAAGATATAATAGGAAAAAAAATAAAGATATAGACAAAGTAGTTACTATTCTATATCATAAAAGAACAAATATTATTACTACCTTCCTCCTATAATAAATTACACAATTATTACGATCACTTAATAACTTAGTGAAAATTGTCTAAATAAGAGTAAGAACTTAAATTTTTTTGTTCCCTAAATATGACTTAATAATTACCAATTGTTCTACATTGAAAAATAAAAACATATGATCATATATTAAAAAAGTCATTATGTTTTAGTTCTATTTAGAAAAATTACCTTAAAAGTAATGGACGAGGAAAATACTAAAACAAAAATAGTGCTCTTTTTGTGACCTAAATTGGAGTTCACATTATCACTCCCACACACTCATACCACACTGCCTTCCTAACGCTACCAAATGGTCACTAGAGTGTCGCATTCGATTGCCGGAGCTTCGTCGTGGTTTGCCGGAATGTCGTCAAGCTAAGGCTCGCTGGAACTTCATTGCTTGTCCCTGGTGCTGACCACCGCCCATTAACCGGTAGTCCACCACCACACTACCACTATTTCCATTCTATATTATCATCACAATGTCAAACGTCTACTCCGGTGTTTAACAGATAAAAATAAATGCACTCTTATTTTGATATTTTTTGGCAATTTATTCTATATAGAGATATTTTGTTTGTTTTCATGTTTTCATTTATTATTGAGTAAATTCTATAAATGGCCACAATTATATGAAGTTTTCCATATTTAGTCCGCAATTATAACATATTCAATAAACAACCCTCAATTTTTTAAAATTATTTCACAAATAGTCTCTTTCACCAAATATGACAAAATATTTTGAGTAAATTCTCAAAATAGTCCATTCTATAAAGGATTGCGTCAGTAATTATTATTTATTGGTAGTCTCACTTAATTTAAATAAATCATTTTGAGGACATATATTCCTAGTTTATATAATAAAGAACATCAAAATACATTCTAATTAACTATCCTTTAAAATGCATTTTTGATAAAGGACTATTTAGAAAACACATCTCAGTTATAAAGGACCACGTTATTAATTTTTGCTTATTAATGATTACTTTGTGAAAGGCACGATGATATAATTGGACCATAATAATTATTATTAGGGAAATATTTACACCAACACTCTTAAAATTGCATGAATTTAAATAAATACCTAGCTCTGAGGTTCGTTGAATGATACTAATGCATCTATTTTTTTTTACATTCATATCGTTAGTGTGAGAACATAACACCGACGTAAATATAAAAAGATTTTGAGAACATTGATGTAATTTATTGAATCTCAGAGTATTATTTATGTAAACTCATGCAATTCTAAAAGTATTGACATTAAATTTTCCTTATTATTAATATTGGTGTTGTTGCCGTCGTCCTCTATCATATTAGAGAATCAACAAGTACTAAAAATTAATATAAACACTCAATTGAGGAAAAATGATAGGAGCAAGGTGTTGTATTTTTCTAGTGGTACTCCCTTCGTCCCTAAATCAATTACTATTTAGGCAAAACGAAGTAAATCTCAAGTTTTTTTAATTCATTTTATTTAAAAATTGATATATAAATAAAAATAAAACTTACATATTTAAAAAGTATATCAGAAGTTATACAAAACAAGAAGTGACAATAACATTTTACGTCATCAAATAATCAATGAAATTACACAAATAAATAAAAAATTTCGTGATTTTTGAATAGTAGAGAGGCAGAGATTAATAAAAGTAAGACCCAAAACGTCGTCGTACTTGTTATGCTCTTTAATGCAATGGAATATAAGTAGGTAATTACTCCATGTAATTTGAGGAGAAACGAAACAAAAGAATGGTGGTCGTCGTTGACTGTGCCGGCTGCCTCACGCCACTGCAGCTTCCACCGGGAGCTAAGACCATTCGCTGCGCCGTTTGCCACGCCGTCACCCGTGTTGGACCGCCGCCGCCGCTCACCCGCCCTCATCATGAAAATCAGTACTTACTCCCGCCTCCGCTTCCGCCAGTGCACGGCCGGAAGAAGGCCGTGATTGTCGGGATTTGTTACCGGAACAGTAGGAATAGGAATGAGCTGAAGGGGTGCATCAACGACGCCAAATGCATGAGATATTTACTGCTCAAACAGTTCAACTTCCCCTCCGATTCCATCCTCTTTCTTAGTGGTACGTACAAATTAATGGTACAATTAATTACTCCGTAATTACTACTTCCTGCAGACTTCACAAATATCGGTGGGGTTCCCGTGACATTGAGATGACCCGGAGATGATCCGGTGCTCCGTTTGTAAAATAAACAATTCTTACTAGATGTCTCCGAGTCATCCAATGATATTGTCGGGCAATGTCATGAGAATTGTCCCGCACAAATATTCTTTTCTACCTTGTTCATATGATTAAAATTTATTCATTTTCTTTGCTAATTTTGACTACTTAATATCCATACGTGGTACGAGTAATATTATTTTGTACTTCATCCATTTCACAAAGGAATTTGATTTTCGCTTTTTACTCTTTCTATTAATCACTTCCTCTTTTTATATTAAAAAAGTTTACCTATTTTATCTTTATCAAATGATTTAAGCTTTTAATGTAAAAAACAATGATTTAAGCTTTTAGTAAGAAAATAGATTTAAAATTTATATGAAAAAAATAGTCAATATTCATCTGACATTCCATCCTATTTACTCAACCCACTAAAATTCTAACAGGGGTAAACTAGCTCGGTAAATGTGAAAGTGATAGATTTCGATTGAAGAATTGAATAAATTAAAGTGGGTACGTGTTTGATCGATGTGCGAAGGAGATGCTTAAGGAATATAATGTGAATAACTTTTAATTGTGCATATCACATCAAATTATGTTCTGTGTTTAAAAACGGTGAGGGTACAAAACTTTTTATTTGAAAAATTCAAAACTACGTTCAAATAAAGAAAGATAAAAAATGAAAATGATAAATTAAATGCAAGAAAAGCTTATAAAACTTGGTTTAATTTATACTTTGTGGAGTATTTCAAATGTTTGTGAACTTTTTATATTCATCTAAAAAAATTAAAAATTAAATAAAAGATTTTTTTTAATTAATCTACACTTAAACTAACTTTTCAAAATCAATTTATTATTTAATGAATAAATATAAAAGATTATTACTCCGCATTTTATAACATATTCGTATATATGTTCGGTTCAGGATTTTTCGTACTAATGTCAGATACCGGATCGACCATTCGGCTCGGTACAGTACGAACAATTTCTTTCGATATTTTATCGGTTCGATATTTTTTGGTTAGATAATCTTAACTATGATTAGAAAATTTCATGTTCGATTCCGTACTTGGTCACCCTGTATCTCTCATTTGATAAATTAGCTTACACAAATTAAACTTAATTATAAATGCAGAGGAAGAGGGAGATCCGTACAGGATTCCCACAAAACACAACATAAGAATGGCCATGCAATGGCTGGTCGGAGGTTGTCAGGCCGGCGACTCTCTGGTGTTCCATTATTCCGGCCATGGCTCTCAACAGCTAAGCCACACCGCCGGAGACGAAGTGGACGGCCGCGACGAAACGCTCTGCCCCTTAGACTTCGCTACGCAGGGAATGATCGTTGATGACGAAATCAATGCGGCGATTGTCCGGCCGCTCCCCCGCGGAGCCAAACTTCACGCCGTTATAGATGCCTGCCACAGCGGCACCGTCTTAGATCTTCCCTTCCTTTGCAAGATGGACAGGTTCTTTTAACTCTCAATGCATTTGCACGTAATTTGTTTTTATTTCTGCTCTACCCCTGCACATGAATATTACTATCACCTCTTTGTATATTTGTTTAGTCTGATTTTTTCGAATCAAAATAAATAGATCCCAAAAAGATTTTATATATATAGGGCCTGTTTGGGAATAACGTTAGCGTTTTGGATAAGATTTTAACGGTGCAGATTACTTTGAAAACGCTAACGCTGGCCGTAGATAGCCTTTTCAAAACGCTAACGCTAATCTCTAAAGCTATTCCCAAACAGGTCCATAGTCTAACAAGAGACTCGATATGTGACTGTTCAATAGACGCGAGTAATTATTTGTGCGTGCATAGGGGGAGGTATGTGTGGGAGGACCATCGACCGAGATCGGGGGCATGGAAAGGGACGAGCGGAGGAGAGGTTATATGCTTCAGTGGATGTCGCGATAATCAAACATCTGTTGATACTGATGTTAGTACTACTATATACTGACTCATTGTCTCACAAACTATTTCTTTTTTTTTTGAATTTAGCTACTCCCACCGTTCCACAAAATCCTTCCGGTTTTGACTTTGGAGAAAAATAAAGAAAATGTAATTTTGGTTGACTTTCTAATTTTGCCCATGATATCATAGAAAAAAGTAAGACGAGATAGTTTGGTTATTAGTAAAAAATTATGATGTGATAGGTAGGGTATGAAAAAATAGGGCTAAAAATAGGTTTTTAATAGAAAGTGGAAGTGTTTTGTAGAAAGCAAAAAAAAAACGGAAGAGGAATGATTTTGTGGAACGGATGGAGTATTTAATTTGTACACCAAAATTTGTACCTCATTTGTATCTCAATGGCATGCACCGACATTTTGTGCTAGTGTAATGATAGCGTGAGAGTTTACATTGACAAAAAATGTGGGTGGAATTTTTTAATTGAACTAACATTTTGTGTCAATTTGAGCCGTTAAAATGTCTGTACATTTCTTTCGGGTACAATTTGGGATACACTTTTTAGTGAACCCTAGCATGATTGTTTTTTTTGTCACACAATTTTTTCCTTTTTCTATTAAAAAATAACTTTTACCTCTATTAATTTTTATCATATCTATCACTTTATACATATTTACTAATTAATAATATATTCAAGGAGCTAAAACATGTCAATTTTACGAACGAAGCACCGTAGTATTCATGGGTCATCACATGACATAGGGTTCCATTGTCATGGAAACCCCTCCAATATATTCATTACACTCTACTTCTACATATCATATTAAGGATAATTAAGTAAACTTGAAACGAAAAATATCTCTTCTTTAAAATCACATAAATTTACACTTTCATTTTGTATAAAAATTTGGGTCTACAAATATCATTTCCCAACACCAACATTTTAATGGATGCACAAATGAGGTTGATTAATTGGATGGGCTACGATTATTATGTGCAGAGTTTGTCAGGAGTGACCTCAACGGGGGTAATGACCTTTTCCTTTATCCAAGCCATTGAACGGGGGAGTGGGCCACAACAAGGCACAACGACGACGTATGGGAGTATACTGAAGTCTATGAGATCTTCCATACGCAGCAGCAGCTCCGGTCACCGGCCGGCCGGGGGCCGCCGCCTCGTCACCACCCTTCTCTCCATCCTTGTAAACGGTGGAGCCACCAATCGCGTCATCCCACAGGTATTAAAAAAAAGAAGGTTGGAACTTGGGGTAAAGTTGACTGAATTGCACCCAATTTCACCTCAATTTAACTGAACCTTACCTGGTATTACATTTCATTTTTAATTTGGAGGTAAAATTGATCGAATTTTATCCAGTTGCATTATGTTTCACCTAAATTCAACTCAAAATTTACCAAATTACATTCATTTTCACCTCAATTAAATCTAACTGTATTTAGTTTCATTCAATTTGGAGGTAAAATCGTTTGAATTTCACCTATTGTAACTCGATTGGAAAAAAATACTACTCCCTCCGTCCCCCAGTTTTTGTCTACTTTTGACTTTTGGAACGGTTCATCTAAGCACTTTGACTTATTAAATTATCTCAAATGTGTAAGTCTAAATACAGTCATGTGTGATCTTGTTTGATTTGTCTTAACATATAAATTATTATTATATAATTTCTATAATTTTTTAATATACAAATTACAAGATAAAATGGATTAAACAAGTGCATTAGATTGTGTGCCAAAGGATAAGTGGACAAATACTCTGGGACAGAGAGAGTATTATAATTTCTCCTTATCTTGTATATACCCCATGTTTATGTGCAGGTGCCACAACTAAGTGCTAATGAACCATTCGATGTGTACACGAAGCCCTTTTCGATATAACTCTTCAAGCATTCAACGATTGATCGTGTGCGTAGTGAACGTATTCTCTAAGTTTATTACTCGTGTATTATATTATATATTCCGTACATCGCGATGATAACGCTTTATGAACCCAATGACATAATGGTACTAGTTAAATCAAAATAATTCTCAATGCCAATTTTGTACTAACTTCAAAGTTTCTACTACCAACGTACTTCTTCCATCCAACCCCAATGCCTACCATTGTAAATTTTGATATAGAATGCTAGGGGTACACCAAAAAGTATACTCTAATGGTACACCAAGACAATTACATACAGAGTGTTTCTTCCGTCCCACAATGTTTGCTGCATTTCTTTTTCAACAATCACGAGAACTTTTATTTATTTGTACGTTTTCATTGATTATTTGATAAAATAAAATATTCTTGACACCTTTTATGTCGAAAAATGTTCAATGTAGTTTTTAAACACGGGATATGTAAATTTTATTTTTATTTTTATACTAATATTTCAAATAAAATGAATTTAAAAAACTAGATATTTTATCTAATTTTTCATGTGGTAAAAATTTAAGGACGGAGGGAGTACAATATAGTATAACCTATATGTTCATCAAAACTCTTTGGTTGTTTGTTATTCAAAGGTTCTCGATAACTTCTGTTCGATTGTATTTTTTATTAGTCAATTGACAAATAAAAATAAGATACGAACAATTTTGGTGAACGGAGAGAATGTGTGTTTGTGTTTAGTGTGTACAATTGGGATACATTTTTTTTGGGTACCCTGCCATTTTTTGTATGGTTCTTGAACCCTCACCAACAGGATCTATCCTCTCAATCTGGATAAGTCATTGCCGCCCAATCCCCATGGCCGGAGCAGCACCAACGCGCCTATGCCTCTTTCCATCGATTCCCCCATCAACCCACAAAACCCCCAAACCTCCCGCCCTCTTCCCCCCTCGCCGCCGCCGCATTCACAAACCCCACTCCCCGGGAATCAGAATCCTTCCGGCCGCATCCGGCGAAAGCCCACACTTGCTGGGCGATTTCGGCGGCAGAGACCCGTTCCCGGCGGAGATCGAGAGCGGTTTCTGCGAGAAGGTGTTGGGAGACGTGGACACGGAGCACAAGATTCTCATCCCCAACGCCTCAGCTCTCTCTCTTGCTCGACGACGAACCTGCACTTCCATCACTCCTCCATTGTCAGACCTCGAAGCTCGCCAGTTGTTGCTGAAGGTCAGCTTCTCATTCATACACTTCTCCATTCGCTTCTAAGGCCCTCCATCAAACATATCTCTCGTCTGCATTATACATTCATTGCTTTTGGCACAAAGACTAATGAGGGAAAATAAAATAAAAAATTGTCCTTAGGTTGAATAAGTTTAGAGTATAAAGTTTGAAAAGGTAAGGGCAAACTAGTAATTTTAGTATATACGGAGTACTCAGTGGCTTTGTTTGGTAACAGCGTTTTCGATTAGCGTTAACGTTTTGGATAAAATTTTAATGGTGCAGATTAATTCTAAAAACGCTAACGCTAAAGGTTACCGTCGGATAGCTTTTTCAAAACGCTAACGCTAATCTCCGACGCTAATGCCAAACGGGGCCAGTATTTTTTTACCATATATGGAAAAAGGAATTTACCTCAATAGTTCTCCGTAACATAGTACTAAAATATACTCCGTAATGATTTTCACAATTTAGTACTATATGTTTTTATTTTTTCAATATAGTACTTTTGTTCAATATCTACTGGTCATTATTCAAGTAAATGTCCAACACCACTGTACATTGTTCAAACTAAATGTCCATCATCAATTCATCACTGAACATTGTTCCCACCACTAGGCATTAATCAAGTACTCCGTACTATTTAGAGAATAAAAAAATTTAAATACTACATTGAGAAATGACATATGTTTAAGTGCTCCCTCGGTTCCTAAAAAAGAATTCCTATTTTGACCAAATGTAAAAATAAAGAAGTCTTAAATTGTACTCCGTAGTTGACTTCTAATTTTGTCCTTGATATGATGGCTAAACGTAAGATATGATAGATAGATTATTAGAGAAAAAATATGATGTGATAGGTATGGTATGAAAAAGTAAGGGTAAAGTGTTTTTTAGTAGAAATAGGAAGTATTTTGTTGGAAGTGAAAAAAATGAAAGAGGAAATGTTTTTTAGAACGGATGGATTACTATTTCGTGCAAATTTCACATAAGGAAAGTACCCAAACTAAATGGACAACCCAAAAAAGTGGACGGAGTCATTGGAAGAGAGGAAGTATTGTATTTAGGCCCAACTCACTGAAACAGAGGAAGTATTGTATTGTAGGAGAATGAAGTGCACGTAAAATGACCGGGTTCATTCGACCCAAAAATGAGGTTCAACTAGTTAGGAGACATGATGTCCTAACTCTAGTATCATGGACCACGACTGGATGTCCTCCCGAAACATGGGAGGCGATTTCTCATGTTTGGTTGGCCTCTTCCACGTTTTAAATATTCTCTCTTCTCGTGAAGAAGAGATCGCGTTCTTAATACACGAAGGAATTTATTACCAAACATATGTATCTGTGTATATATTGGCAAGCTAAGTGGACAACAACAGGTTGTTGGGTGGAGAGTGATAAATGAGGAAGGGGGACTGAGGCTGCAATGCACTTGGAAAGTGAGAGACTCCGACTGCGGCGCGGAGCTCATCAAAAGGATCAACAAGGCGGTGGAGGGTTCGGGACATTCCTCTAACCTTCTTCTAGAGCAAGAGTGTGGCCAAGTCCGTGCTCGTCTATGGACTGCTTCCATTGGAGGGTTGAGCTTGAACGACTTCATTTTAGCTGCAAAAATCGATGCTGTTAAAACATCTGACCTTTCTCCCACAAAGAGAGTTTGGGCATAACTATGTCATCCATTGGGCGTCGCCAAGTCTCATGTATTTGACAGCGTTTATCGAGTCGCACCTTTATTTTTAATTTCCGTGTAGCTATTTTATAGCGTATGTTATTTGTATATAGATTTGCAAAAAATGATTTTATCTTACAAAAAACTTCCAAATATATAGTCTGATGTATTGTCTTCAAAAAAAATATGGAGTATCCATTTTGATCTATTACTATGAAATGTTATGTTTATTTACTTCATGATCAAAATGCAACGATTCGAATGCCTTACACTGCTCTATTCGACCTCAAGGTAGTTCACACCCCCAGAACTCTCCCCCACCCCCCACCACTTACCCCCATACTAAAGTGTTCGATGTAACCTTACAAGTTACAACGAAATTTGAATTAAGGGAGGGGGTTGGGAGGGGTTTTGAGGCGTTACTAGGTAAGAACTACTTCAGGGTCGAACAAAATATCGTAGGATCAAATGTCAAGTTGCATGGATGCCATAATTAGGATGTCAAAAGAACCCTAATGATGTAATAGGTTGGAAAGTTGATGTTCAATGCGCAATATTTTTCAACCAAGCACAAGATCCCCAAACAAAAACTAACCTAATGTATCCAAAAAACAAACAAAACCCAACACACAGTTTACAATAGATTGCCAAATATTTCAATCTATGTATGGCTCACACTTACAACAAGACAAACACACTTTTTTTAGTACAGCTCAACCGCATTAGCGCGTCTAAATTGCTTTAGATTACAAAGGCACGCAATTACAACAGTAGGTATCACAAATTGTCACTCTAGTCAAATTTTTAACAAAAAAATACAGTAAATAAAACATACCAGAAAATGTTCAGTTAGACCACACATGAACCAGCCCACACCTGTTTCCGGTGTAGATCTCATTGCGGTCTTCATCATAAAAGAGGGCAGTGATGTCGTCCAGAGCTTCTGCAACAGTGCTCCTAATTCTTTCTGCCGCTCGTACTCTCTTGGATTTACAGTTCCTGCCATTACAACGGGCAGTACAACTGCAATCATCCATCGCGGCATCATCAGTTGCTTTAATCTTAGCAAGGCACTTCCCTGTCAAGATATTGCTGATATTGATAGATCCTGCTGTGATACCAGACCAGCATCCATTAGAAACTTGGCACTTGCAATGAAGGAAAACGGAGACTGATAAAGAATATTACTCCCTCTGTCTCATAACTATGTTCCTAATTTGAGTTGGCTTGTTCATTAAAAATAAAATAAAGTGAACATTTTGTGGTGGAAATTTGATCAGTTGAGAGAAACCATTTCAGCCACAGAATTTCTTTTCCTAAAAAGGAAAGTAGAACTTTTTTAGGACAACCCAAATAGGAAGAAGAAAATTATGGGAGGGAGTAATGTTGGTTCAATGGAGTGGGGAGGAATGAGTATCTTTTGGAAAAAATGTATTAGAAAAAAGTCTTTAATCAACTTTTGTAGGAATTATATACGGAGTATATATTAACCTACTTGTATAACAACAATGAATTGGAAAAAACAATTCATTGTTTTTGGAAAAAACACATCTTATCCGTGGTACCCTGAATTGGGATAGTGAAATATAAAAGGTTTGGAGGAGATTATAGTTCCTTCCTCCACTTCATCCTCACTCCCAAACCCAACCAACATACACAACTTCTTCACCTTTCCCTCCTCCCTTCCAAAACCCACCAGCCAAACAAGGGCTTAAGTGCTTAACCATACAAGGAAGTAGCAAACATGTGAGAAAAGCACCACATCACAGCTAGCAGTGAAGACTAAGAACATTTCCCACTTTCATTATACTATTATTAGTATATTACTACCTTCATCTCCCATTCACCCCCACCCCCAACCCAAAGCAAGACGGGTTTCACCCGTGCACGGCTTTATAATCGTAGTTAGGTACAACTATTGGAAAATATCAAACTTAATACTATTTGAAGTTGGTGATTCGTTTAACTAAGTTCGACATACTTGACTTCTTTGAGACACGTATTTAATGAAACACATAAAATATAACAAAAATTGGCATTTTTGGAAGGAAACACATTTAAATAAATATATTAGCATAGTTTGTTAGAATATGACTTACTCTTTTGGAGAAGAAAGGTAAGTTTTTAAAATAGGACCCTTAAATACAGACAGGACTTACCATTTCCTTCTGTTAGGGGGTCATAAGAATCAGCCTTGCAGTATGAGATGATAAGGTCCTGATCACTAGTAATGTAAATGTTGTTAGTATTACAATCAGGATGCCACAAAAGGTGATCC